CGAGAGCTGCCACCGCCGGAAAGGCCAGCTCGGCTGCCACGGTCTGAAGGCTCTCGCCCGGGTTTCGGGCCGCGTTGCCAACCTCACGTATTCAGAACCGATGAGTCAGCACCGCCCCCCAGCACAGGGTCGACTTCCCGCAACCAGCTAGCATGGGGTTGGTCTGTCTCAGCAGCCGTTCTGGGGCTGCGGGTTGTACCCGAGCCACGCCTTCCCCCAAACCCATGAAAGCTTGGAAACGGCACCTTCAGAAAGGCAATATTGGCTCGTAATTGCTTCCCTACAGGAACAAACAGCGTGAGGTGCCCGTTACAGGACCAAGACCACCTACGCTTAGCCGGAGACCTGTAGCTACAGGCGCATCACACTACACCGTGCATATACAGCTGTTTCCACAAGAAAGGGGTTTGTGTGGAAACACTGCAGGCTAAATGCTAAAATTTAAGCCAACAAAGTTAAGCCTGCAACGCAACAATATTATTGTACTGCTAGGGCTATTTAATATAAATGTGTTTGTTCAGAATAGTGAATTTTCATGTATAATTTATGCATGATGTGGTAACAAATGCTCTTCTGATTTAATTTTTAAAACCTTCCATGCCAACAGGAACTAACTGAAGGGGACTGCCCATGTAATGCATTTTGCTGCTATTATCACACTAACTGCGAATGATTCAATGCACATGTCCACGCACAATTCAATTCACCTATTTTTGTTCCATGTCAGTCCAGAGTCTTGCTCCACTTGCTTTGCAAACTCCAGATCGCACTCTGCTTCCGAGAGGAGGAAGGTACCTGAGACCTGGGGCGCCCAGCATACACCTCAGCGGATCCTGCTGAGTGATGTTTGTGTTTTGTCTCCCTGAACAGCCTGGCCCGCGCTGGCCTCACCACCTGTTCCTTCCACAGCCAAAGTCAAAGGCTTGTGTGGTGTTGGGTCAAACTCTGTTCATCACTCATGAAGAATGAGGAACACGCAAGTATGTATGAAACGTTATAAAAAAATCAGAATAGTACTGTCTTGTATTTAAAAAAAATCCAATTGTATTGTAAAATGGTACCTTTAGAAGTTACATTCCTATTTGGTTTATTATTACATTTTACCATTTTTAATTATTAATGGGGGGGATTAGGGTGTAAAATATTTGTTACTTCCCCAAGGCATGAATGGGACTGATTTTTGGTGAGAGACAAAGTTGGCCAGACAGTAAAGGTGACACAGCTAAAATTAATTAGGCTCATGGGAAAACTGTTCCTCAGCAACCCTTACTAAAATTGAAGACTGTTAAACAACAAATCCATACTCTGCAACTGAAATAAGAGCAAGTGTAGGAAATTTTGATGAATCTTCAAGAAAAATCGGAAGACTTCCCTTGTGTCAACAATTGTCAAAACTAGATCTAAGCAGTATTACCAATCCTTTAAAAATCATAAATTAGCTATTAAAATAACTATATTAAAAATATTCAGTGTTCTTGTGTTATTTCAGCTCCAGTTTTAAAACCTGTATTGTGACCTCTGGTCACATCTGTAGACTTTACCTTACCAGGAGGAGAATGAAAATTTTACATTAACGCGGAAAAGGAAGTTGAGATTCTCAAGCACTGGTCTCAGGATCCTGAGGCTTTAAGAAAATCATCATTATATACTGGCATCACTTTTCAATATGCCAGTCTTTCAAGAAAGCAAATCTCATTCTTTAAGGTATACACCTATGAGGAATTAAATGCCTCAGGTTATCGTTATTGAACCAGATAATTTTTCACCTTTGGTCATAAATGTGAATTCTTTTCACTTAGCAGACGTTCTATATTATCTTAATTTAATGACTGTTTGGCAACTACTTACCATTTAGAGTGGAATGTGATCCCAGATCCATCTTTTCGTTACAGATGCACTACTGAAGTTTGCATGAGAGCAGTTGTGTTTGGTTGGGAACCCAATTTCTCCTCCCCGACGTAGACACTTCAAACAAAAATTAAAAAAAGGATCTTTCAGGCACTTAAATCCAAAATTACAATCCCCAAATACTACCTGCAATAGTCAACCCCTTTAGACAATGCCTAAAATTCTGCTTAGAATGTTCTGGCCCGAGCAGCTGGAGTCTTGTCAATTACTTCAATCCTCTGAGACCAAACAGCAGAAAACCTGAGATAGCTAAGCGAGCAAGACATATCCTAAGCACCCAAGGACTGGATTAAAACTTTCACGAAATGCAGCCATGACCACTTATAAATATGCACCAGAGGAGTTATGTGCTTTGTCGTAAGCGTGTTACCTAATAGTCTAAAACTTAATTCAGAAGCAATACTGCACAGACCTGCCGTGCCTGGTGCTGAGAAACCACAAACTGCAACTTTGTCACTATTCAGAACACAAGCACTTTTACATGGTGGTTTTTTTTTCCCTTTCTATGCTGACAACATATTTCTAATCAGAAAAACAGAGAGGGCCGGTCCTAGCTTTTAAAACCTAATACATTATTAATAATTGGAATTATGCTTATCCCTATCATACTGGTGAGACATGTTGTTGCACTAGTCAATGGTTACTGAGCCCAAAACATAAAGCACATATACTAGCACATAAGCTGTAACTCTAAATGGAATCTTTCCCACAAATATATTTAAAAGCACGGCAGTCTCCTGAACATCTAGTAGTAGGGTATCCTATTAATTACTCCCAGAGACTCATGTTTTCAGTGCTTAACTTTACTTTTAGTCATAATTCATCAGTTGTGAGGCTGGAAGCTGTGCAACACCTCCGGCAATGCATATTTTGCATGAACAGTTACACAGATGTAAATAAATAAATAAAAGCTAACTCACACCTAGAAACTACAGACCGTGTGAAATAAGACAACACAGACAGGCAATGGGCAACCTGGCAAGCTGTCCTCTGTAAACTGTCCCTTCAACAGCATGTCCTCTTTATCGACTCATATTATTTATATAGTTGCCAGAGCTCCTCTTTTTCTGTTACCCTCCTGTATCATATCCACCACTCTAAGTCCAACACATACACCACATCACTGCTTTATTACACATTTCAAGAAATAACGACAATAATAAAGAAGATACCACCTCTATGCTGTGGCGTTTGTCCACGTGAAACAACACCGTTTCAGGAAGTCTCTTCGCAAGTCGGCTGCCTCGACCTTCGCCTCCTCGCCCCGGCCACTGGCGGCCCCCCGCGGGCGAGGGAGGAGAGAGCAGGGGC